CGACTCATTTTTTTTTGCTCTACGCTGGAGGCTTCCTCATTCCGCATTTACAGTTCTATCGCAGGGTGTGTCGGTTTCGACCCCAATCTCACCAAGGGATATAAGGTTTGTAGCCGGAAGGACGTTACTAAAAGCACCTTGGGTATCAAAAAAGGCACCAACATTGAAGTATTAATGTATTTAAACCAATTCTATCGACCTCCTTGCTACCGTGAGGGGTGATCTCTACCGACTTAACATTAATGTAGAACATATTATCCCTAATATGCATTTTCCTAGGATTTGAAACAAAAAAACGAAGAAAAAAGTATGGTTCAAAAGTCCTTATTAGATATGTGAGACTCTTTTTTACGGGATTTGTTGTAAATACCATCCGTACCTCTGTGCTGGCTTATTCTCTTGAACAACGCAACTAGCTACCTTTGCTGGAATTCAGCCAAAGACACGAAAATCCTTAAGCATTTTTCAATTGGCCAGGTTTAATGCTGTCCTGCGCCACTAACTTCTTCAGCTTCAAAGGGTTTGTCGCCCAAGTATAGCGACGCTTATCTAAAAGGTCACCTAAAGTGTGTGTATAAGAAAAAAATTTAAGTTTTTTTTTTGACGTCAAACCAGGCGATACAAACATTAATTTAAAGTTAAATCGGCAGCAAACACGTTTTAAATTCATTTTATATAACTTTATTGCTTACGCGAAACTGGCTGTAAGAAAAAAAAAAAATTTTTTAAATTTGAGTTAAGATACCATTCGCTACATACATACATATATACATATATGAGCTAGCTGTGTGTATGTTCACCACTACAATGACCACTTCCAATACCTCTAAGCAAGCTACTGATTGAAAAATAAAACATTTTAGCAGCTAATAAATTATTTAATCAATCTTTACAGCTAAATAATAAAATTGAAAATTTTACATAAAATAACAAAAAAAAATAATATTTACCAATACCTTTTTAATAATCACCTGCCTTGCTTCCAAACGCAATGATGGAATCACCCTAACTATAACGAATCAACAATTCCAAAATTGTAATATAGTTAAAAATTGGTACTAAAATCTATCAACTACTATATATATATATATATATATAGATATATATATTATCATGTACTTAATACTGTAAAAAACGTGTACTAATATTTTTTGGAATTTTTTTCTGCACTTGCAATCAGCAAATTAGAGCTACTAAACTTGACTATATTTTTTAACTTCTACCCACACAAATATATTTGCTCACCTATATGAAACAAATTGAGCTAACTCGTTCACGCTTAAAGCAAAAAATGTCGCTGCTAAATGTAGTTCACCTAACTAAATCACGCAAACCAATCGATTTGTCCTCCAATCACTTTGATTTCCAAACAAAACGAATTGCATACTGAAATCATACAGAATTAAGTTTTAATTTTTTTTTTTAATATTTGGTTTCAATGTTAGCCCGAAAGAAGTTATAATTTGAAATAAGCCTAAGGAACTGTTCAAAAATTAAGCTTTTTAAGTTATATATATATTTTTTTTCGAATAAATTTGCAACCAATCAAAAATTATGAAAAATTTTAAGTTCGTAATAAATAATTTAGCAAAAAAAAAACAAAACAGAAACTTTTTTTTAAAGATATGAATACGAAATTTTTATTATAAAATGAAAGCGATAAATAATCAATTACTTACATATTAGTACAAAAAAAAAAAAAAAAAAATGCCCTCCCAAGCATGCTGTCTCTCTCTCTGTCTCTCATTCGAAGTTATAGCAAACGAAAAACGTTACAAAGTTAAAATCAACAAAATTAACAGAACAGAAAATAAATGATGCGCTCATTAGTGAAAATAAAGAAGCAACTAGCTAGTTTCTTCTTCTACTAACTACCAATTACTAACAACAATCATTAACCCTTAGGTTTGCTTTTAGTTGAAGCTCCTTTCAAGTTTACTCACTTTCACTGCATTTTTGGTTTTTTTTTTGTTTTGTATAAAAATTAGTTGATTTCAATTAAATAAATAATTTACTGTCATTATTTTCAAAGCTACTTACTTGTCGAAGTTTAATCAAAATTATCTTTTCACATTTCCTGGCCTTGTTCTTATTATTAACAATTTTTTTCTACGAAGATTTTATTTCTTAGTTATTTCTTAGCTGCGCATCAAACATTCATATTTCATTAGTATCAAAGTGTTAAAAATTTACCCAGTTTTTGTCTACCCTTAGGCTGCAGATTGTCACAGTGCCTTCATTAATTCTTCATTTGTAATTTTCTTATTTTTTATTTTTGTATGTATTTAACCGTCACACTTTTATTTAAAATTTTTAGTTTTTATCTATTAATTTTTAAATTAATGAAATGCAAGCTTTATTAGTTTTATGTATGCTTGACTAAAAAAATTAGTTTTGAATGTACGCTTCGAATGGCATAAATTTAAGTGGAGTTTAAAAGCAATCTTAAGAAAAAACATACAAAAAATATAGAAAGAGGAAAAGCAGGTATGAAAAACACTCGTTGATCAAAAAAGTTGGCAGATTTGATATTAGCCTATATATTTAACCTATTGTATTTTGATAAAAAATAGGTTATTTCCTGAGTACTAAAAGAGAACAAACACATCACTCCAACTGTATGTGCCATACCAAAGTATTTTGTAGTAAAAAAAAAATACAAATAATTTTGCGCAACCACACACTGTCCCAAATGGAATTTATGAGGTCCCATAATCTCTGCTAAGGTGGTGAAAGAGTGATACTCCAAATGCTCGGGTTCTCTTGTATAAAAAGCTGAACATGGAAATAGGAAATGGCGAATTGATTCGAGCTCTCTCCGTCCCGTCCACTTCTGCAAAGAGGGACATTTTTGGTTTAGGCCAGCATGCAGGCATTGGTTTAATAGCACAGTAATTTGTGATGTAGCCTTTAGTAAATCTTTCTTTATGGTTTAGTTAAGGCTTAAAAGTTTCTCTTTTCGGTACTTCTTAAACCTTGGCAATAAAGACGTTAAGAAGTCGAAGTCATCTCAGTTGGTACGTTCATAATTGGTTATGGGTGCGCTATATTAGTAATTTTTCCACCGTGGATCAGAAATCGATAGATCTAGGGAGCTAACTGATGCTACTAAAGAGAAATGGCCTCAAATTGATGGGAAAATACACCTTTGCGAACTGAGGCAGCTAAGAGAAAACTCGATTAGAAGATCTACGGAAAGGCCAAGGGTATCACAAAGCGGCCTCTGACCGAACTTTTAAGTACAGCTGTCTAACTTACCTAACCTAACCTAATATAATCTACTTGAGTGGAGTACTTTCCACTTTCCAGAGTCATCCGGCCAGCGTGACTTTCGCAATTACATATATTTTTTGATGCAGTGAATAATAAAAATTCGTTCCACAAAAATTCTATAAGGTGAACCCAAAATTCTTACTCACATTTGTTCCCTTCCCGGATTTATCTTTTCCCTTTGGAGGTGATATTATAGACGTGTTTAGCCAAAAATGCGAAACGAGTTTCAATTTCTCTCCGCTGCTTTCTAATATATACATATGCATGTATGATGAAGTATGATTTTCTCTGGAGATGACAACAGTCTAAGTAGGTTAACATCTGGTGCCCAAATCGTCTCATTTCCTTAACAGCAAAATTTAAAGTCCAGGAAGTTACATGAAATCCGTCGCTTATTGGGGTTTCTGGAGTTAAGTTTTTCTCTGACGAAGTTTACATATATCCGTTTTAGGTTAGCAGGAATGTTATAATTTTCATTCGAGAAAATTTACCATTCCCAATGAAAGAGTTGGGTCCTAGGAAATTAATTTTTCAGATATTATGTCTAAGGGCTCAGTTTGATTAGTTTAGCAAAAAAAGGAAAAGAATTTTAAGATGTGGTTTGCCATGTACATTAGGATGCACACTCTTTTAAAAAAAAGGATCGGTACTTTTTTCCACCGGAAATTTATATTTTTATTATATTTATTTTATTATAAGACAGCCGCCAAAATATTTCGGAAAAAATATAAGATTCAACTAAGTTGCACCGAATTAAAAATAGCTAAAAAAATTAATTTTTTTATAAAAATAGTTAGTTTTTCCAAAATTTTTTTGCGCAAAAAAAATCACCTCAGATTGTAGAAGAGTTTACGCTTACAAAGTGTGCAAAATATGTTTTATAACTTTATCAACGGAATCAAAGGAAAGAGATTTTTGCAGGTATTTTCAAATCGGTCTAGCTCAGGTAAATATTAATGTTTTTCTGAAAAATTTTGGCGGAAGTCGTAGAATATAATATACATTTTTTTTTTAATTCGGGAGAAAACAGTAACTTTTTTTGTGAGGCACCCTAATGTACATACGTATATTTGATATTTATATCATGCGTAGCTTAAAAGTCATAGACTCAGTATTTAGAAACAAATTCCGAATAAATAAATAATTTTACATGCAAAAAAATGTAAGCGTAAATAACGTGCAACGAAATCTCGCTAAAATTTTTGCCATTCGAAAGTTCTCTTTTTCACTCGCTTCTTTTCAATAAGTAAATTTGTATTTGTTTGACAAAATTTCTGGTATTAGTGCAAAGAAGAAGTTTTCTTCTCTTTTCTGTTGATACATTTTATGCAAGTATCTAAGTATTAACATACATATTAATTAAAAAAAAGAAAAATAAAACTTTTCGTTGTACTATTTGATTAATTACACTGAATTTTTCTTAGTTCCCTGAAATGTTATTTCCTATTATTTGAATAAACTACTTTCTACTTACTACTAACAATGTGATATGCAATATTTCCACAGTAAATTAATCATTTTTCGTTCATATCAAATAATTTCCATAGTATTTTGCAAAGTTATGAATAAAAAAACAAACAACAAAAGCTGTTATGCAAAACCAGATTACTAATATATTTTTCTTTCTCTTCATGCGCGCCCGCTGTGTTCAACGTACAACGTACCACGTACCCCACACGTGCCACACTTGCAACGCGCTACGCTCGCCCCCCTCAAATTGGCAACAGGAAATTATTCGCGTCTCGCTTGTGAGATACAATTCGTACGCTCGATGGGTTACTATCTCATCCAAATTTATATACCCTCTGGACTGATCGTTATTATATCATGGGTATCATTTTGGCTAAATCGTAATGCCACACCGGCTCGTGTGGCGCTCGGTGTTACCACCGTGTTGACAATGACCACACTGATGTCGTCAACAAATGCAGCATTGCCAAAGATTTCATATGTCAAATCGATTGACGTTTATCTAGGAACATGCTTCGTTATGGTCTTTGCCAGTCTTTTGGGTAAACTAACAACAAAAACAAATGCATACATTTAAATTAATGTCACATAACAAACGTACATACATACAATACTTAAGTGTTCTCAATGTTGTTCATAATATTTAAATACTTAGTGTTTTTTTTTATGTTTTAATTTTTTTGAATTACATAAATATGTACACATACTTTGGGTTTTGTTAAAATCTTTTGTTACTCGTTAAAAGATAATGCAAAATTTGGAAAACAGGAAAAAATGGCAAAGTTTGAGACCAAATATTTTTTTTTAATTATTTATTTTATATTTGTTTAGATAACTCAATTGAAGAGAGAAGCGATTTATAAACTATGCTATTAAAAATTTTTTTTTGGTATACTTTTGGTGCAGTACGACCACTTTAAATCCCTATCTAACATCAGCTGGATACGGTACTCAGCTAACGGGCTGATATGAATAACAAAATAAAAAAAAAAACGTCAGTTAATAAAAACTTTCGTAGTTAATAAAAACTTTCGCAAAGCCCACTGATGTCGGTAGCAGTATTGGTGTCGATAATAATAAGCGAAAACGGAATGATAATTATGCCAAAAAGATAACAAAATTTATAAGTTCGAAGAAATGATGAAAGCGATAACTATGTTTAAGAGTACGGAGACCAATATCGATTTAATGAGAGATAAATACAACTATAACGATATATATAAAAAATATAATAAGCAGAATAATAGGCAGCGATAATAATTATACTTTCGATAACGGAAAAATATATTTAAAAGTGAAAACAAAACTAAATTAATTATAATATTATAAACAGGTAGTAAAACTCTGATAATACAACAAAAAAATAAATTAAAAAATTAAACTAATGCATTGAAATATAGACAACTTTAAGAAAATGTCGAGTTCATGATATCGATATTGAAATATGACTGTGAAAAATGGCAATAGTAAAAATCGAATGTTATGAAAAAAAATAACAAAATCCAGCAGCACTAAATAAAAGAACAGTCACAATGGCAACGAATTCATTAAAATATCAATAACGGTAACTAATAAGTATATAAAAGTTATGATGTCGATAACAAGAAGGATAATAAGAAATGTGTTGGCAATTATGATTGTTGAAAATTTCAGAAATAAAAAATATCGATAACGACAACAAGTGATATTATGGTAATTATAACTGTCGAAAATGGAAGAAGTAATAATATCGATAACGATTAAAAAATTTCCAGATAATTTTAACGACAAAAAAAATTGTGACAAAAGCTCAAACCGATTAAAATTTGATAACGATAACAAACAATAACAATAAAAATAGCAAAATCGACAATGACAACGGTAATTATAATTACAAATATTGTTAACGACAATGAAAAGTTAAAGATAATAGTATCGATAACAAAAGGTACAAAAGAATATGTTGAAAATTTGAACAGTGACAAAAATGGTAGTTGAAAAAATATCGATATCGATAAGCGCAAAGCTAACGATAAAAATATTACTAATTTTGGATTAACGAATAACGATACTGAAATTATAAGTACAGTTGATACCGAAAATGGAAATTACAACTATAATAATATAATATAATAAAATTTAACGGGAGCGGTTATAATCAGTAATTTATAATAAATGCGAAAATTAGATATCAAAAAAAAAAACCGATTGCGATAACAAAAAAAAAATGATAAAAATGATATTATTGACAACTAAAATGGATACATTGCTTACACATTTATTTAAATTATGGTAAAATATTAAGTTCGGACTATGATAATATCGATAACTATAAAGATAACGAAAACAGTAAAAATAACATAAGCCAAAAATAAGCAAGCGATAAAAAATTAAATCGAAATCGATAAAGATATTAATAATTTTATCGATAACAATACTACTCCTATCAGAGTTAATGCCATACCTATGTATATACTGTAATCAAGGCCGCCCTCGTCGGACTTTCACAAAGATCATGGAAATTTCAACTTGAGTAAACTTTTAAACCTGACCAAAAGTATACCAAAGCATATTAATTTTTAAGAATTTTTTAATAAACACAAATGTAAAATTTTGAATTAAAATATTTTTAATTTTTATTTTTTCCAAACAAAATCGATTGAAGCTCTTATTTATATAAATTTTACATTGATTTTATTTTTCTTTTCACAATAAATTCATCACTTGTAAAATAACTAAAAATTTCAACTATTTTTTATTGTATGCTTTCTGCCCTTCTTCACATTTTTCAAGTCTTATTCACCAAAAAAAAAAAAAAAATCATGCTACATTATTAAAAAAGATACTCACTTTTATGCCACTTAAATATCTACTTACTAATTTATTATATCTACAAACAAACATATTTTTCTTAAATGTACATATTTACAACACAAATTTCGTAGCAGATAATGCAATTAAAAGAGAATAATAATTTTTATTAACTATGCAACACCATCCCAAACAAGAGAAAACCACTACAGTTCCCACAAAACTAAACGAACAAAAACAATCCAAACCAGAACCAAGAAAAAAAAAGAAAGAAAAATATAAACAAATCTCTTTTTTCGTATTTGTATGTTCTTGTTAATTTTCAATGAAAACTTTACATTGAATTGCTAATATTATCATTTAGAAAGAAAATAAATGCCGGTTTATCGATACGCGCTTCCCACAGTAATGTGAACGTAAAGTGACCTGAAGCATCCTAACACCATTCAGCATTGAAGCACCAAATATCACGCATTTCAACTAATCACTCAACACTCATCAGTCATATTAAAAAAAAAAAAATATTATTTATTTTTATTTCACTCATAACTCACGCAATAAATTTAAATCACCTATAAATACGAATAAACTCGTATATATATAAATAAGTATATAAAATGAGTACAAAACAGTGCAAAACCAATTTTCCAATAGCACATAAGCACACACGAACGCAAAGACCACTACTACAAATGCATATATGTACATATAAGCAGCTGATCTATAGCATCAAAAAAATCTTATCAAACCCAACGGCACTGCTAATACAAAAAAATAATTACCCACACCAGCAACCACCTCAATGGTACCCTGATATTAATATACGCCCAGCTTCAGTTGAACAACAGTTGTACAGCAAATGCAAAATATTTACATACATACATAAAGTTAAGCGTCAAAAAAGTGAGCACAAAGCCACTTACGTACGTACGTACGTACCGACACGTCAATGTAAATATGCACCTGAACGGCGATCAGTTGTAAAACGATGCGCTCGACACCCACCAGCATTTCTACGCGAACTGTTGCAATTTATTGGAAGCTTTTCTGCGTTAAGAATTGATGATGCTTCATCGCGTGTCAATTCATGACATCGAAAAGCTTCCGGTTCCTTTTTTTTTGGAATATTCCATGCAGAAAATGTAGCTGATCTACTAACAAGTATTGTTTTGCAGGTTCCAAGTGATGTGACACAGAAGCAGATTTTAAGGTAAGTGTGATATATGTAGTTGCGGTATTCGGAATATAATTGAGAAGGCGTTAGTGGTGAATTAAAAATAAAATCATTCTTTTCAGCAAAATTTTTGAGATTTTCTTATTGAGTTTAGGATAGATGAAAGTTTTTGTTCAATAAATGCATATCTAATTTGCTAAAATACCCAAGGCATCTTCATGCCTTTAAATTGTTTAACATAATACCATTGTAGGTACATATAGTCCCATTTCTGCGTTACGACGTATCTACATTTTAGGGAAAACTAACATTACAACTTATAACAACAGTTTAAGCATCACAAAGTTTGAAGTTACTAATACTTCTTTATTTGTTTTATTTATTTATTTTTTCTCTTTTTTTAATTAAATATTTTTTTATGTTCAGAGTTTATTGTTGTACTAAAATAATTTTCCTAAATATATTTTTTTTATTATATAGATTTTATTGAAAAAATTTTTTTGTCTGATTTCTTTTAATTAAAAATTTTTTTTAGATCTCTTTTAGCTTTTTAATTCGGTTGTTTCTTTCTTCTCAATTAATATATTTTTTGAATTGTAAGATTTTATTATTTTAAAAAGAAAAATATATATTTTTGTTTTAAAAGACAAATAGGATTACGCTGAAACCTAAAACAAAAACTTAATTTGGGTGCACACTAATGTTATTAGAACCAGAAATATTAAGTAAACAAGTAAGAAAGTCTAAGTTCGGGAACATTAAATACCCGGCGCAAACATTAAATATATGTTTTTTCACCTTTCCGAAACCTACCGCTAGATGGTAAGCCAGGGTGTATCAATTTTGAGTAAATTAGCGTCCTTCAATTTCGAAATATTCAAGTTTCAAGCATTTCTGAAATTTACCGTTATTTGAAAAGCGGCCGTAATTTTAGTCCGATTTCAATAATTTTCAACGTTTTGCTTTTATGTGGCAAGCATAATAAAAATACCGAGTTTGGTACAAACTGGTAGAACGGTTACCGAGATACATATATGTGATCATAAGTGGGCGGTGCCACGCCCATTTTCCAAAATTTTACCATAAACGTATTTCTTGGTAAATAATTTTTTGCAGTCATCAATTTTGAATAAATTAGCTTTAATATTTACTGATTTATCGAAGATTTTGTATTTCTCTAAATTACCGTTATATGGGATGTGGGCGTGGTTATTGTCCGATTTTAAAAAGTTTCGGCGATTTTTTATGCTGTACCAAGGCCAACAACTGTGCCAAGTTTGGAAGAAATTGGTGCAGCGGTTACCAAGATATACACATGTAACCATAAGTGGGCGTGGCTATGCCCATTTTCCAAAAATGTATAATATTCTTAAACTCATTGTAGATATCAATTTTGAGTGAATTAGCTTCAGTAGTTACTAAAATATCGCAGTTTTCGTATTTCCGAAAATTACCGTTATATGGGAAGTGGGCGTGGTTACAGTCCGATTTCGCCCATTTCCAATACCAACCTCCTTGGATTAAGGGAAACCTACACACCAAATTTCGTTGAGATATCTCAATTTTTGCTCGAGTTAT